AAGGCCACCTTAAATGTGTATCAGATTACAACCTCAGTCATTTTAAGTTCTGCTCACCATAAATAACACTGCACAATTTTTAAGTGCAGGGATTTATATAACATCTTCAACTGGCAAAGTAAAAAGCAAAGCAAAAACTTATGAACAACATACTAAGCTTCCCGTAGGATGAAAACTTCACAGGCATTTAACCAATTATAATTAGTGGCTATAAGAGCACACTTATGGATTTTTAATAAAAAAAGCAAATTCATATTTGCTTATTCATGCAAATATGAATTAAACATCATCAACAATAAACCCGTTTTGAATAAGGGGTTTATTCTTAACATAATTACATAAGTAAATGAGTTATGGTCTCAGAAATGAGAACCATGGTATTCTCAACAGTTACATCTGCTTTTCTAAGCAGATGCACTGGCTCCATCACTTACATTTTCTCTTAAATTAATTGCCAGTAAGGTAAAAGCAATATACCTTCTGTCCAAATAAAGTTTATTACACACTTTATTGTAGTTTTATTACTCTACTGCATAGATAAGCAATAAAAGTTTTTGTAACGCTGCAGAAAATCCAAGTACTGATGGAAAACAGTTATTTAATGCATTTATTTTCATTCTGATTTCTAACTAAGAACACTACCACTAATTCTTGTCAGAGACAATCAATTGGTTGGGGGTTTTTTTGTTTGTTTATTTTTTTTTTTAAAGACTAAAGACCTGTATTAAACTCTTTCTGCTGCAACCACACCACAGCCAGAATTCCCTGGCTACTCTGCTTTCAATGTCTAATTGTGCTTGAAAGTTGCATGACATGATGGAGATAAAGACTGCAGAACAGGGCTACCACTGATTTCTCCACTCCCTGCCCTAGGTCAACCTGCCCCTAAGCACTTTAAACGCTCTGCTCATCTCCAGATTAGCTAAGGCATGGGCTCCCACTATGGTTCAAACTTCTACCACAACTAACAGCTGATGGAAGATACTGCCTCAGCTTCACATTTTTCCATGGGAAAACATTCCAACTAATGTTCTATTGCATTACTGGATCCTTAGATTTTAACTGTGCGTGTCCACACATATACATAAACATACATACGATTCAGCCTGTAATGTCAGAGTTGCACTGGAAAAAGAAACCTTCTGTTACCTTTTGTAGAGAAAAATCAACAGTCAGCTAGCAAAGCCACCGACTGCAAGCACTGACTCCTTGTCACCAGTCCCCCCAAGCATAAAGGGCACACTAAACACTGAAACGACAGCCACTTCAGGGGACACAAGATGAAAGGCTGCGAAAGGGTTTCAGTTAAAAGTGACTGAACAGAAGCGTACTATAAGCAACACTACAAGAGTTGCTTACAGTGGGTAAACAATACCTGCTTGTCACACAACACCAACGTTTCCATACCGTAGCTGCCAAAAGACAAATTGGAACACTTAAAACAGTAATTGCCGGGGCGTGGAGTAAGTCCCAAGGGCATAAAATTTATGCAGCACCTCGTTTTCTGCCTCCACCAACAGACAGGTTCCCTTTCTCCCCCGTGCAACTCACCTCCTGCCACGCTCGGCTCTGCC